TGCTCTGCGTCATCTTAACCTTAGAACGTGTTCAGAGCTCTGAGGGTACAGATACACACGTTTCTGCATCACAATAAGTGAGTCTTATGACAAAATGACAAATTATATAATTTATAGAATAAAAACTAAACTGAAATGCAGATTTAAACCACAACAGACCTGAAGAACAGCCTGATGTCTCCATCAGACCCTGACCTCAGTCCTTCACTGTGTCATCACTCGTTACCTGACCCTCACACTCATGAACTGATCCCTGACCCAAAGGGAACACGTCACCTTGTTCCAGTTACTCCCAGGTTCTGATGGGTTCTGATGGGTTCTGATGGGTTCTGCAAGAAGCAGCCAGAAGCCAAAACACCAAGAATAAATCCCTGAAGCACAGATGAGCAGGTCTCTGTGGAGCATCGTTGCTCTGGCAGCCTGGATTATCAGAGCCKTCGCTGCACAGATCAGATTATAATTGATTTATCAGATTATAGTTGATTTATCAGATTATATTTGAGTTATCAGATTATAGTTAAATTATCAGATTATAGTTGAGTCATCAGATTATAGTAGAGTCCTCAGATTATCGCCTTCAGGAAGTGAGGAGAGAAAGTTTGATGAGACTGGGTGGAGTGATGAGGTTCAGCTCTGTGTCGTGTTTAATGTGGAGGAACTCTTGTAACGATGATGATGATGACTCCTGCTTCGTCTGTGTGTGTGTGTGTGTGTGTGTGTGTGCGTGCGTGCGTGCGTGCGTGTGTTGGTTTAGCTTCAGATCTGTTGTTTTGAATGTGAGCAGAAGGAAAGCTGCAGCTCTCAGTCAGTCAGTAAATCTCTCACATGTTGAATCCATATTTATGGCAGTGTTAACGGTCACATTCACACCTAAATCACTGTGTGAAAACACATCAATACCACTAATTGACTGCATGAAACTGATAGGAAACATATTGATCRGGCTCTCAGGGGAACACTCAGAGCAGTCAGACATGGACCAATCGACTGCTCTCTTCTGTTCTGTGTCATTTCATTTTAGTTCGTTTTCCTATTTTTAGCTCTTTTTCTGGATGTTTTTAGCAACTAAACTACTTCCACATGCTCAGTGTTAGTTTAACCATTTATATATCAAAACAAATGTTGTTGTTTTTTTGCATTTTTGAAGTTTACAAAACAACTTTCTCAGACACAACATATGGTTTAGACAGAAAATGTTTCTAAGTTTGTGTTTCAGTGTTGTATTCCTGACATGAACCAGTCATATTTTTTCTCCTTCATGTGATTGAGTTGAGTCTTTCCTTGATTTCCTGGATGTTTCAGCACAAACCCAGTGAGGGTATCCTCAGCATCCTTGTTGTATTTGTGTCCTTGTCCTTCTGTCCCTGTGATGACGTGTTCGACTCGATGCTGTAGCGTTCTGATAACTGACAGGTTGTTTCAGTAGATTGTAGGAATCAAAAAGCAGACGTTGGTCTGTGTGTAGACTTCCTGTAGTCTTCAGTGTTGGTGTAAACCAAACTGTATAAAACATGGTCAGTTGTTGTGTTTTTTAGTTCTTCCTGGTGATCTTGTTGTTGTCCACAGAGTCAGTGTGTTCAGTACAAGCTTCTGTCCACCACAGATCCAAACCAGTAGTTAGTTCAGTTCTCTTCTCTACCTCCCTCATGTAAATACTGGTCATGTATGAAACTGGGATCCATCCATGCTTCTGTCTGTGGAAGTTGTCTTTGTGTTAGATATAGGTGTTGGATAGACAGAGGTCCAGCAGGAGGTAGATCTGGTCTGGACTGAACTTGGTCTTGTTGAGTATCTGCTTGTCTTGTTGGAGATGTTTCTGTTGAGTGTGAAATGTGCAGGTGGTGTGATGTGATGTCAAACAATGCAAATGTTTACCCGAGGCACAGTTTGTGTTGCTCAGTTTAGTTAGTGAAATCTGTTGGCCACATGATGCTTGGATCTTTGCTGTGGGATGATGTTGCCTTGGTTTCCTGAAAGGTGAAGTTAGAAAGAGGATGTTTAGTCTTAGAGAGATTTTATCTTGATACTCTGCCTCTGCCTCATCTATCTTGGTCCTCATGGCTGACTGAGTGGAAATGATGAGGTCCACAGCTGGTATTTCTTGTGGTGAGACAACAAAATTAACTTCCCTATCCAGAACTGTTTTTTTTTTCTTGTTATGTCAGCTTTCTGTCTGACAGATTCCTCACCAATTGGGATGGGATGAGATGGGATAGGGTAGGATAGGATGGGATAGGATGGGATGGGATAGGATAGGGTAGGGTAGGATAGGGATAGGATAGGATGGGAAAGGATAGGACAGGGTAGGATGGGATGGGATAGGGTAGGATAGGATGGGATAGGATGGGATGGGATAGGATAGGGTAGGGTAGGATAGGGATAGGATAGGATGAGATAGGATAGGGTAGGGTAGGATAGGGATAGGATAGGATGGGAAAGGATAGGACAGGGTAGGATGGGATGGGATAGGGTAGGATAGGATGGGATGGGATAGGATAGGATGGGATGGGATAGGGTAGGATAGGGATAGGATAGAGATAGGATAGAATGGGATAGGATAGGATAGGATGGGATAGGATAGGATAGGGTAGGGTAGGATAGGATAGGATAGGATAGGATAGGATAGGATAGGATAGGATAGGATAGGATGGGATGGGATAGGATAGGGTAGGTTAGTATAGGGATAGGATAGGATGGGATAGGATGGGATAGGGTAGGATAGGATGGGATAGGATAGGGTAGGGTAGGATAGGGATAGGATAGGATGGGATAGGATGGGATAGGATAGGGCTAGGGTAGGATAGGGATAGGATAGGATGGGATAGGATAGGACAGGGTAGGATGGGATGGGATAGGATGGGATAGGATAGGGTAGGATAAGCATAGGATAGGGTAGGATAGGTTTGGNTGGGATAGGATAGGACAGGGTAGGATGGGATGGGATAGGATGGGATAGGATAGGGTAGGATAAGCATAGGATAGGGTAGGATAGGTTTGGTTTGCTAATAATTTGGAGGAAATTGTTGTTTTACATCAGCATATCTGAATAGTTAAACATCCATAATACCATAATACATGTGGACCATTTCATTGAAACTGGAAACTTCTTCTAAGATGAGAGATACAAAGAAGTGGTTAGAGCCTCTGGCTGACAGGTGTGACCTGAGTGGTCACAGGTGGTTATAACCTGGTCATAACTTCTGAGCCTGGAATTCKCGGCCCACCATCAGAGCTGAAGAAGCCTTTAGGATGAGAGGTTATTGAACCTCTTAGGATTATCATATTCTGAATTACAGAGAATCTACACCAAAGTAAATATTCTTCAGTTGGACACGTGTAGATGTACTATTTCTTCCAAATTGTTTTGAGGCTTGAATCTTTTGCTTTTAGCTTCTGTTTTGCTCAACTTTAACAACTTAGTTAAAAATGTTTTCTTCAACAAAGATAWTCAGCACTCAGTATTCACACTGCAAAAAATCCAGTTTCTCTTAATCGGGTTTTTTTTTTGCTGAAATAATGATTTATTTTTCATATATTTACTACTTTTCTGTATATTTAACATAAATGAAGTTATAGAAATACCTTTTCGGTTTCTCAGTAATTTTATATGTAGTTGGAAAATGTTTTTCTTTAAAGTTCAGTCTCTCAGGACAACAGTTTTCAAAAACATGAAGGTTTTTTTGTGTGTTGCCGTACTTCCTTAGTCACGCATGTCATGGAAATGTTAAATGGTGCTTGTTATAACAGGGTCACATGACTTCTGCTGAAATAAACCCCCAGTTTGAAGATTTGATGGTACAGCCTCCCTCAGATTTAATACAATCAACTCTAAAAATAGCTGGCAGGAAGATGCAAATAAAAGTGGCATCAAGATTGTACCAGACTGTTTTAAACTGTGTCAGCTGTTCAGTACAAATAAAGATGATCGAAAGAAAGATTTTCTTAGGAAATCATTTCAGATTGAACGTCTGAAGATAGTTTTTGCCGCTGTGCCTGTAGGGAAACATGTTCCTTTTTCTTGTAAAGCCTTTTRAGAATCATCCATACGACAAATCCAAAGAGGCTTTGGCAGAAGAAAAGATGCATGATTGTGTGTAAATTCACGTGAGTTTGTGTATGTGTGRGTGTCCATCCTTTTAGCACACTTACGTAATACAGTAAAAGACAGAAGATTATGTAAGGCTACATCTACAAGAGAACCAGTGCATGTGTGTGATAAAGAGTGCACAAGGTCATGCTGGGAGGATGGAGGAGCAGCAGGGCTCACATTCAATTAGACGAGCTGTAATGAGATGAAGAAGCATCCATGAGGGCATTCATGTGCATGTTTGGAAGCAGAACATGTGGGTTTGCTCATATGAACCTGATATGATTGGGGGGGGGCTTCTCAAACAAAGACTTCATGTCAGCTTCTGATTGTCTTCSAAGTCTTAATGTGAGGTCAGCAGCTCTCCAACATGAATCTTAAACTGACAGTACAATGATGAGATAAGCAGGAGCTCCACCAGTTTTAATGGAAGGTTTTAGCTTCTTAATTAAAGTCGTCTTAACTCTGAAAGACTTTGTCTTCTGAATTATCTGAAAAAAAATCATTTTAAAGCTCAAACTYTTGGTGTTCACGCAGAGAAAAATGRGTTACAGCTAACATTAATAAAAAGTATGAGTAATACAAGGAAGTGTGTATCTGCTAGCAGCTAGCGCTTCACATGCTAAATTTAAAGGTCAAATGGAGTAAAATCCAAACAATGAGTTTTTATGTTAATCTTTTAGTTAAACACTTCCATTAAACAAACCTGTGGATTTTTTCATGATTTAGAAAAGTAATACTTGTTTGTAGCGTTTTTGTGTAGAAATGGGGTCATTGAGGGGGAGGAGTTACCGTCCCTCGATGATGACATCATCTGTGCCGGCTGGAGAGAGAATTATTGTGTTTGTTCCTCTGACTTCCTGAAAGATGTGAAATCGTTAAGGACTAACGTTGTTTGGTTTGTTTGCTGCAGGTAAACCAGGAGAACGTGGTGAAGGTGGGCCACAGACAGGTGGTCAACATGATACGACAGGGCGGCAACCGACTTCTAATCAAAGTGGTGACAGTGAGCCGGAATCTGGACCCTGAAGACACGGCACGCAAAAAAGGTACATCGTTTATAAAGTCATCGTTTTTACTGATCAGAACAAACAAACCATAAAAATATCCCTCCAGACAGAGAGGGTCAGAAAATGAGGTCATGGCTGTAGAGGACATCTGGACACCCAGCAGAGTAAAACACTGAGGCTCCTTTTGGTTCATCTGCCAACAACTGGACCTCTGTTAGACAATTATCAAACTAACAGATAACGAGTTACGTAATAAAACCAACCAAGAAACACAATTTCCTCAGAATACAMGCAGCAAAAATAACAGATACTGTTTCATAAAATGACTGTAGTTAGTAAAATGTTTTCAGTAATCCTTGGACCCAGTTCAACATGGCRGCCACAGCCCACTGACATTAAAAGCCCAACCATCTGCACGGATCCTGAGCTAAAACTGACACATGGTGCACACTGCATGGTAGTGTTTATCATTAACACTGTCCTTCTGTTAGCAAAATATATGATAAATCACTGGARAGATTTGTAAATACTCAAGAATCAAGAATCATTGATTGTTATTCATACACAACATCAAGATGCTATGTGGACCGAAATTTGTGGTTTAGAACATCCGTCCGGAGAAACACACACACATGACAGACATGGGGGGACGAATGTCCAGGGTCTTTCACAATGTAGTGCGCTACCTTTGCAGTTTAGAATACACACACATAGGAAGGATGAGTTAAAAAAAGAGCTTTGATCCTGTGTTTTATACAGAAAAACACACGAGCACACACTCCAAACAACTACTCTGCGAAAGAAAGAGCAGCTAAGGAGGGGGTGGGGGAACAAAACATATGGTAAGAGGAGCGGTGCAGCGTGCCAGGACCACTTCCCAGAGAGCAATCATTAGCTGCACATCCACAACTCCTAAACTTCAGAGTCGACCCAGTCCAAGACGCTCCGCCACAAGTACTTTACTTCGACTAATATAAACTTAGTCGTTTACAGATACTGAGCTAAAGTTTGATGTGGTCGTAGCTTAGGGTTGTTCATGCTAACCACCTCCAGAGGTCCCACAGTGTTACAGAACATTTTAATTTTTTATCTCAACTCATCGTTTCCTAGCCTGGTAAAAAACAGACCCTTGTCCTTCACTTTGCTTCGTACGAGGGTCTGGACTCTCAGCTGTAGAGAAGTGATTCTTGCTGGAGGCGTGGCCTGTGTTGAAGTTTAAAATGATTGGATCTGTTGGCCGTGACGTATGAGTGCCAGCTCCACTGTGAAGGAGGCTAAGCTAAGAAGCTAAATCATGTGTGCTGTAAACAACCCTACTGAGAGGAGAGAAGTACCGAGCTGAACGAGACGACTGGAAATGAGAGCTGCTGCTTTGTCAGACACATTTATTTTAATTTGAAGTCTTATCAACACAGACTGGCTTCATTCACTTCCTCCACTGCTGTATGCTAAACTACAAGCAGATACTGCGCAGAAAATCAACGTTCTGTTCTCTGATTGGCCCGGACATAAATTCTCCTGAAGAAATCCTTGTCTYTGGGAGAAATCRCAGACGGAGCAGAGAAGGAAACGAGAGTTGAGTGGAGCTGTGAAGGAAGACGAGGGCCAGGCRAGTGGTTTCCCCAACYTAAGATGATAAATGATAAAAACAGTTGGGGCTTTGCTGGGAGGTCTTATTCACTGTAATCTATGACTTTTGACTCATTTTCTCTTGTCTTTGTTTATTTTTAGCCCCCCCACCACCAAAGAGAGCCCCCACCACTGCCTTGTCGATGCGTTCCAAGTCCATGACGTCAGAGCTGGAGGAACTGGGTAAGATCTTGTTGGTTGGTGTTTTTGCCCCCTCAGGAGGTCAGCGTCTAACGCCTCCTTTTTYTTGTATTTTATTTTATTTTGTTTTATTTTGTTTGTTTTGTTGCTCCTCTCTGATTGGTTAATCTCACCAAGTGGATAAAGGTAAGCAGTTAGATCTGCACAGCCTTTCTGCAGCATCCTGATGGTTCCTGATTCTGCTGGTCTGGTTCATGCATGCAGGCTGCCTGCTCATCCAGCTGCTGTCAGTCTGTACATCAGTGTGCTGCTTTTATTTCTGTTTCCATCACTTTGTTTCTGCGTGTGTGCTGAGTTCTGCACAGAGCTGCCGTCTCAGCCCAGCTCCTTCAAACACATCCAGGAGTCAGCTGTTTGAAGACAGGACAAAAAAATGCAGAGTAGGAAACGAGRGAAGGAAAGGAGGAGGCATGAGGAGGAAATAAGAACATCTGATGTTTTTCAGTTGGTTTATGAGCACAGTTTGTTTCTCTTTATTAAAAAGAAGTGTACACATGTCACTCCCTGGTCCGTCAGCTCCAGTTAATGTTTGTTTCTGAAGCTGTGACACGTTTGAAAAAGTTAAACATTCAGGTGTTTGTATGAGGTGTCGTTTGTACAGTTACACAGTCAAAAATTACCACCAATATTTTTGTTTTATTTAGTCTTTTATAAGAAAAAAAGAACAGATTTATTTTTAAAAGTCAGTTTTTCACCGTATGATTTGTAATATTTATATTAATTAAAATAATTGTCCTGATAAAATGGAATGAGTTTACCTAAGGTTACAGTTCAGAAGTTATTCTTATTAGAATAAAAACAGAGTTCTGCTGAGCCACTGACCAGGTACGAGAACCTCGTCACACCTGAATGTTTTTAACAGAACTAAGTGTACGTGATAAACTGAGCACGTTTTCAGATTTCTGACTTTTTGATAGTTAGACGATCCAGATGTTGGGAGATATGGGTTCATTTGTAGGGGTGTAAGAAAATATCGATACACTGAAATATCGCAATATTTCATTTCCCAATACCGTATCGATATTCTAAAGCCCTGTATCGATTTTTTATTAAGGTTTAAAATGTCAACTTTCCTGCCAYCSGTTCATTTTTATGTTGTAGTTCAGCCTCTGACCACTAGTTGGCAGCAGTGAGCCAGACATTMGGCTCCTCTACCTCTTGAGGTAGAGGCTAATGTTAAGTGTTGGGTGAACATATTGTAAAATAATATTAAAACTAAAAGCTGCAAAAAATATATTTTCAAACTATTTATTGTCAAATTTAGTCTAATAATTGAAAACATGGATAAAATAAGAAATATGAAACAAATAAAATAAAATACATACAAAGCAGAACACAGCTAAATGTATCAAAAGTATGTCTATGTAATATTAGAATTTTCTGAGACAATGAATTTTGGTTTTTCATTTTTTTCTCCTGTAAGAGGTTTTTATTTAATATAATTTTTGGACAAAAAAATCACAATATATCAGGATATATCGTGTCGTGACCCCTCTGTCATGATATGTATCGTATCGCCAAATTCTTGCCAATACACAGGCCTARTCATTTGTCTTGTTAATTGGGTTGAAAATGTTTAAAAATTCTTGTTTTGTGAATTCAGAGGATTTCTTGACATCCTTTGAAAACAGAAACCTGAAACRGTATGTTAGGATACACTCCACTGTAAACATTATTTGTTGGTTCTGCTCGTTCTTTAGGTTTATGTTTAGACATTTCCTTTAAGGGACTCATAGTTCAGGTATTTATTCATCATATTTTGAATAAACTCATTTATGACTAATTATTGACCAATGCCTCCAGCTGTCTGGATGTCACATTACTGTGTGACCGAATGCTTGGTTCGTAGTTCTTTGCACTGTTGTCATGTTACATGTTGATGTGTTTGTGTGTCTGTGAGCTGTAAACTAGGAGCAGGGCAGGTAGGGAGGGTGAACAGTGTTTCTACAGCTGCTTTGTGTTCATTGTGTTTTGTTGTGGAACAAGTTGAGCACCGTGGAAAACYTGTGGACATGTTGTATTTTGTAACRGCACAGWAAATTATCTGGCTTTGAATTKATTTAAAGAGATTMTCTAATAAAAACATGTCCTCTTCTCCTCTGTGTACTGCAGGAGAGACGCCTTCTGCTGAAAAAAATAACTAAGTAACTTTTACTCAAAGTAACTTTGGAATGACCTTTTACTTTTACTTCAGTAAAATTAACCACGAGTAACTCTGTACTTGCGTATGTTATTTTAGTGGTTTCCACCTGTGGTTAGGAGCAGCAGGTATGTAACGAGGAAACATGAAGTGATTTTCTTGCTCCAGGCAGAGGTTTGTGATTCAGGTTATTTTTGRTCTGACAGAAGAAACCTCAGTTTTACACACAGTTTATTTTTTAACACATTTGCTTTTCATTGTGTCCTGTGTGCCAGTACTTCAGGAAATATGACGTATTTCTGCTCTGCKCATGTGAAAGGCTATCAGTTGCTGTTTGTACAGTTACACAGTCTTAAATTACCACCAATATTTCTGTTTTATTTAGTCTTTTATAAGAAAAAAAGATCAGATTTATTTTTCAAAGTCAGTTTTTCACCATATGATTCATACATTTATAAATGTCATAGTTTATAAACTAAATATTTATCTTACAAATGAAATATTTAGTTAACAAGATAAATATAT